TTATTATATGCATTTAGAGAAGGATTGCAGTTCTCTAAATGGGGGTAGCATCCAAAAGGGTTTTGAAAGTCTCTGAAGGCAGAGATGGTACAAGTTAGAATCACTTTCTGGGAGACTGAAATAGTTACCATTCCAGGTCCCTGATGTAGTTACTCCAAATTTTGAGATGAGTGTAAATTGCCAGTATTTTGTCACAGCCTTATTCTAATTCCAATAAGTAGCTGGGCTTGAGAACCACTGTTTTAAATATTATTTTGTCCTTATGGTAGAGTCATTAGACATCAGAAGACTTTATACATAAATATTTTAATGAGAGAACTGGGACCTAATAAGTGTTACTAACTCTTTAGCTGCTGTTGCTGTTATTACTATTATCAGTATTTTTGTCTTGGTATCTAAGTTTTATCTGTTGTCTTATGATGTCATACAAATAGAACTTTAAATAAAGAATAATAAGGTCATACATGTTGAGGGACTTGTTTTCTTTAAGCTATGGTCACAAATAGCTACTTCTTTTTTTTTAGTTTTTTAGTTTTTATATATTTGAATTACAAACAAAATTGAATTACATGACAATTCCAGTTTCCTTCTCCCTTCCTTCCTCCCCTACCACCCCCCAACTAAAATCCTACCTATCATATGTCCTTTCTTCTAATCTACACTTTACTCAACCTTTCTGCTTCCTCATGACCTCTGCATCCTTCCTTTCCTTCCCTTCTCACTTTGGAGGCAGAGGCAGATTTCTCTGAGTTTGAGGACTGCCTAGTCTTTGTATCAATTTCCTGGTTAGGCATATCTATTTCAAATTCTTTTAATCTCCATGCACCCGGGAGGCCATCTTCTCATATCTGACACTGAAATGCTTTCATTTACAAAGTGCTCTATAAATGCTATCTCACAATCGAATCCTGTTGATATGTTAGTTTTAGAATTGTTTAGAATTGGTACCACTTTATTCTGATGTCATAAATGCATTCTAGTGTTAAGTCCACAGATAACATTTTAACACCTAGTAAAAGAACAGCTGTCCCAGGCTTCTCTAATATCAGGCAGTTACATGCAACTCCTCAATAAAGTTTCCCTTCCTCTCAAGCTGAAACTCTACTTCTATTCTGCTTAACTCTCTTTTACTTTCATATGTTGTTTTTGTGTGTTGCCCACTGAGTGTAGTGTTTCTTACCCAATCATGGTGGCTATCCTACTCATGAACTCAGTGCTTGGCTTCTTAAGTCAGCCTTGGGATTGGAACTCGGGTCGTCATGCTTCTCCACTTTAATGACTGGACTGTCTACCCAGCCCTCCATATGTACCACACAGCAAAGCCCTCAAAAAGATAATTCTACACTAATCTGCCTACGGTATTCTACCTTAAAGGACATAATTCTACTTATAAAAATCTATCCATGGTAATATAAGATCCAGCATTAAATAACTTATGTTTAGCTATAGATTCTGCTGCATGAGCAATTATCTACCTCAATAATGGAAGAAGCTTCCACTCCATAGGTAGATTACAAGATGAAATAAAACAAAGCCCAACACACAGAACTCATTATGTGTTTTCTAAAGTAAAAAGGGGAATAAAAGTTTCCTTTATGAAATGTCATATAAAATAAGGTGTGTATTTTTGGGTTCTGTGTACTGCAGAATATCATGTTTACTCTGTGTGTGTTTCTGTGTTGATGTGGGCAGGTGCCTGTGTGCCATAGGTTCACATGGCAAATAATAGAACCATACTTGAATGTCAGCTCTCATCTTTCCTCTCTATTTAAGAATGGAATCTTCTTTCTGTGTGAACAGTGCTGGTCTATGAGCTTTGCAAGATTCTCCTGTTTCTGGCTCTCATGTCCCATTGTAGATATTTGCAATAATGTGTCCAACTAGCATGTAAATTCTGGGAATCAAACTCAGATCCTTACCTACAGATTCACCTCCCCATCTTCAGAAGAGATTTGTAATTGAGATTTTCAAATTCCACCTTTTCTTTCTTTCTTTCTTTCTTTCTTTCTTTCTTTCTTTCTTTCTTTCTTTCTTTCTTTCTGTTTTTCTTCCTTTCTTTCTGTCTTTCTTTTTTTGTTTTTCTCGAGAAAGGGTTTCTCTGTGCAGCTTTGAAGCCTATCCTGGCACTTGCTCTGGAGAACAGGCTGGGCTCAAACTCATAGAGACTCTCCTGCCTCTGCCTCCCGAGTGCTGGGATTAAAGGCATGCTCCATCAATGCCCTGCTCTGCCTTATTTTTTTATTTATTTGTTTTTTGAGACAGATTCTCACTATGTGTTTACTCTACTGTATTTGAGGTCCAGGATATGATTCTTTATGTAATGCCTCTTTCATAAAATTTCTTTGATCCTTGAAATGACTCTTGGGAAAGGGCAGATCATAAGTCCAATTCCTTAGATAATGAAAACTGAGGTTCCAAGATGATAAGTAATTTATTGAACTCACTGAACTTACAGAAAAAAAGCAAAAGAAAACAGTGTTTACTCTGCATATGGAAACATGCTTTATAAAAGTGGTAAAGCAATGATCTACTAACTACATAAAAATCTGTGTTTACTACTATTATGAAATGGGAAGTGTAGATAGCATGCCTCTCTTCCACCTAAGAGAACAAAAGGTGACAGAGGATGCTTGGCTATATGTTGATCTATTATTTATTCTTGCTTTTTCTTCAAAAAAGATGGCACATTATGCAAAATGAATAGAATCTCAGAGTCTAGATGTGAAGAAAAGATATTAAGTTCTTATTCCTAGTGTATGGAAATTGCCCTGCCTGACTCAAAATAGATGTACACAGACATTTGCATTTTAAATCTTCCACTTCTTAAAATGTTAGAATGAATGTTATAGCCATTTTAAACTATCATAAGAAGCTCTCAGAAACAAAACAAAAAACCACCAAATATAATAATTTCATCTCCTATACCACACCCGAGGAACAGTTACACATTGGATCATGTTTATTTCCAAGGATGATAAATGAGCCCACTTAATAAAGAAACTGCATCACAAAATTAAGGTGGAGAATGGGAAAAATATGAAGTAAGCACAGGAAGAATTAGCCTTTACTTTGAACCTGACTGCCACTTTCATGATGGAGCTTTCTTTAGCTTCTAAAAGTATTGGTTCTTTCATAGCATCTTACAGTTTTCCTCGCTGGCGTTTCTCCCCAGAAATGCCAACGAGGGGTTTTCTGCTTATTTTGGATGTTATAATTTATTTTAGTTTTCACAATACACTAAAGTGTATAGTTTACCTAAATTATGATAGTATTAATACAATCCTGGGAGTCAGGAATTGAGTTACAAAAAAACAAAAATCTGCTAAACGCAGGGAACAGTGTAGGGGTATTTGGCTGACCCTATTTTCTATGTCTTCTCACTCTAAAAGCCCCAGAAGTTCCCCTTAGCCTGTTGTTGTCTCTTCCTGTCCCTCTCCAACTTCCTTGGTCCTTCAACAACTCCACAGCTAATCCTGGTCAGCCAATTGCTTACTCTATCCTTGATTCAGGGTGGCTTTATTGGCACAGCAGAGTGACTATAGAACAATTCTCCCTAAACATTTCCCCCTTTTGTTCTAAATAAAAAGGAAGGGCTTAACTCTAACCTGGTGAAGCTATATACAATAAGAACAATATCAAATAAGACACACATCCACAATGTCTGTTCCATTAAAAAAAATTGGCAAATTCAAAGAAAATACTCCATTATCTATCCTATCTTTGAGAATCTAAAATTTTGTATGTGATTTAATTTTTATCAAAATTAAGGAAAACTTTAACTATAATTATTGAATCTTCACCACCATGAAAGACCCAAAAGGGATATAGTATTAACTGATTAAACAGGAAATGCAGACCAAACAACTTCCAAATCTCAAAAACAATAGAGACATCTGGCTGAATGGACAGTCACCACAAGGTTCCTCTGCCACATTGGGGCATCCAGTTTGGGTCTATGGGCCTAGAATATCTGACTGGCTTTTCTGTGAAGTAGGAATTTTGAAGGACTGTTGTATCCTGTCTTGGCAAAGTTTGGCAGTAACTTTCTTTGTGTTGTGCTTGTCCAATTTGGACATCAGACTGTTAGCAGTGGAGGCAAGGTGAAGTTTCTTTTTCCAGTGACTGACTTTGCCACAAATGAAAGCAAACTTGATATGAAAGTTGTTTGATGCTCTTTTGAAGTAAATTGGTGCTGCCAGGAGCAGACATGTCTGAAAAGCCTTATGTTACTAAAACATTTTTAATGCCACATTCAGTAAGACTCTGAAGTGTTTGGTGATCTATATATTTACATATTTCTGTTTGACCTTGAAAACATACCTAACATGACTGTAAGTTTTATTCTTATAGGTAAATAACTACTAATTTGTATTTCTTTATTGTCTTAAATAGCTTTCAAGGACTTGAACTTTATATTACATTACATTTTTAAATGAACTGCAAAGGGACAACATCTTAAACAAGAAACAGTAATATATAATGCAAAAATAACCTTAAATTTGTGTCAATATACAAAAAATCCATGTTACTGGAAACTATTTGAGACTAGTTTGAAAATAGATTCAATAATCTACCTAGTTATCTTAGCACCCTTTTTCTTTTCACAATGAGATCACTGAATCTAATTTCCATTGCTTAATTTCCTCCCTGACAATGACCAATAACAACTGGTAACCAACCTCCCTAAACAATGACAAACATCCATCAAATAACTGTAAACCATCCACCTAACTCTTGGGAATATGGGTGTCATGTTCATAAAATTATGTCCTGTTGTCTGGGGACAATGGCATCTTTGGGGGACTCTGAAAATTGTGAGATGAAGATCAAGTCCTGGGAAAAGCTAGCTGTTGTCCATTCTCTGTGGGATAGGAAAGTGCAAGAATTATGTGAAGTTCTGGCAGGAATAGTCTATGATGCTGACTCATCTTAACTAACTGCCTTTAAATTGTACTGAGAAGTTGATCTTTGTGTTCTGTTTGTCAGTTTAGTGGCATTACCACAATCCAGGTGGATTCTTCATTGTTGGGCCCCAACATCATTTTGGAAACTTCAAAGTTTGCTCTTAGGAATGATCACAGTAACCTGCAGAAAAATTAATCATTTTAAATGTCATATGCTTCAGATCTAATATGGGTCATAAGACCATAATCTAGTAAATACACCTGGGGTACACAAGCTTGATTCCTAATTACCTGCTTCAGGTTCAAGCCTGAAATGACACACAAGAAGATAGATGAAGCTTATTCTAAGAATTAATACTCTACATAACTATTAATATCACAGTAGAAAGTTAAAACAAATGTTTATTTGTTTTAAACAAATGTATATTTTATAGATTTTGAGATAATATTTATACCTTAAGAAAAGTTTTATGGAGTCAAAACAAAACCACAAGGGTTTTGAGATTAATGACACTAGAATAGTCCCTTCTGTCTCATATAAGGTGGATCATCTGACATGAGACAGAGATTGTATATTTTCCTCTAAAAAGGAGGAGAGAGGCCCACTCCAACTCCAAAGCCAGCTTTAAATTTTAGTTGAATTTGGACTATAAAAACACCATTTGCTTTATAAGTTTGTAGAGAACAGGAGAGCCAAACATTTGGGAAGATTCTTAAAACCAGTTGCTGATGGAAATGCATTATACAATTAAATCAAATTATTCTTTTTCTTGGGACTTTTTCTCTGGATGATTCATCCTTGTTCAGATGTCTTATTAATCCAGTGGTGTTCAGATTATTTAGTTGGATGTTTTTATTTTCCTATGAAGACAAAATCAAAACCCTACCCCAACCCTGACTTTGGGGAATTTCCGTTTTTTGGCAGATTATGTGTGATCAAATGAAAAAACTTTTACAAGTGTTAGAAGTTAACTTAGATGATGAACTATTGCCTCTCCTAATCAAGTGGTCTCTCCTATTCAAGTCTCATCTTTATAAATCTTGGTGGTATCTATAGCTTTTCTTCTCCTGTCGAAACAAAACAAAACATTTTCCGTAACATAACACATATCTTGGTTTTCATTCTGAGGTCAACACATCTTTGAAGTATACAGGATGATTTAATTTTAACCGTTTTTTTTTTCCTTATCCAATGTCTCTCTGCAGGTGTCATTCCTTTCTCATTAGCATTTAAAAATTAAAGTGAATAAGCCATTCTGCAGTCTATCTCTAGGGAACTTTATAAACCACTTCTGTTTATTAAGCATATCCTTTACAGTGTGGTTGGGTCTTTCTATAACTGCTCATTCTGTAGAATTGTGTGGTATACCTAAACTATGCTTTACATTGTAATGTTCAAATAAACAACTGTTTCATTTTACTAGAGACATATTCTAGAGCATTGTCATTCTTAATTGTACAATTATCTCCATGATGGTCATAAATTCTAATAAATGTGTAATTATAGAATCATCAGTCCTTTCAGAACTCAAAGAAGTTGCCCATTGATATCTTAAATAAGTAGCTGCGACATGGTGCACATACTTTAGTTTTCCAAATTCTGCAAAACGAACCACATCCATTTGCCAAATTTTATTTCTTTGAGTACCCTTTGGATTACTTCCTACAGGTAGTGGAGTCTGGTTATACAAAGAACAAGGACATTTCCTTATAATTTCCTTGGCTTGTTGCCAACTGATGGAGAAACCTTTCTTCAAATATTTGCTTGTAACATGGTTTTGTTTCTTATAAATTATGAGGCTTCTAGCATACTTCCTAACAATATCTGATCAATTTCATGATTACCTTGTGCTAGAGGGCTTATATACTCCAAAAAAATTATCAACTGAGGCTGAGACTCAATTGGGTGTGTTAGAAGAGAAATTACAGAATATATATGTAGATAACTTCAACATAGAGCTTGATTGAATCCTTGACATACTACATTCTATACATTCTTGTACAGAAATTTTTATGCGGAGAGAAGATAATATCTTAGAGTAGGTATATTTAACACACAGAGTAAAAAAATTAAAGACCTATGTAGAGAAGTTTTCTGAATTGATTATGAAAGGAAAATTGAGACTTCACAATTAACAGGAATAGACTAAGCAGAAACTGTGGTACATTTTATTAATCCCGAAATTTCCTCATTATGGGCAGAAAATGAACATAGGTAGAGAGCATGCAATATATTTTGGGGGGAGTGATTAGCAACAAATATCCAAAAATCAAGAGACATCAGTTTATAAAGAGAATCATTTGGATCCTTCCTCACACTGTACTGTAAACACCAGTTTCTGGAGCCCTTACATTCTGGCCTAATTCCAATACATCAGGAAAGGCATATTATTAGCTAGAAAAAAATAAGTATCTCAAAGCCCATATAGTCCAATTCAAAAATCAGAATTATATGCTATTCTCATGGTATTATTAGATTTTCCAGAAATTCTTAATATAGTTACAGACTCAACATTCAGAAAGAGATGTCTTACATATTGAAACCACTGAACTTACTACAGATGATTCAGAATCAACATTGTTAGTTATCATTACAATAAATATTCAGGAATAGAAATCATTCCCTATTTATAACACATATCAGATACCATACCATTACTTAGTTCTTGAGTTGGTAATCTAATTGTGGTTTACAGCCAATTAATATCTCCCAGCAATTTTTGAAAATCTTTAAGAGTTTATAAGTGATCTCTCCTGATTTGTACTTTTTGTGGTTTAATTTTTTATAAATATATCTTATGTCCTAGATATTTAATAAATCTCCAAATCTCTTTGTATGTTTTCAGGAGCAATTTTTAGTCCCAACCAAGGCAAAATTTTCTTTACCCCTTTAAACATTTTTTTTGCTGAGACATCTGAGTCTAAATCAGCTATTAAGATATCATCCATATAATGGTGAATTATAGATTGAGAAAACTGTTTACAAATTATTTTCAATGGCTATTGTACAAAATATTGATGCAAGGTGGTGCTGTTTAACATCCCTTTTGGAATAATTTTCCACTGATACCTTTTAGCAGGCTGGGAATTATCTTAAGTAGGCACTGTGAAGACAAATTTTTCCCTATCCACTCTTGTAAAGATGTATTTAAAAAAAGGCAGTCTTAAATAAATCAGTATAACAGACCATCCTGTAGGTAATAAAGAAGTTATGGGAATTCCAGGCTGGAAAGAACCCATTGGCTCAATCATTTATGACTTTTAAACCTGTAATAATTCTCCATTTCATATTTCTTTTTAATGACAAATATAGGAGAATTATGAAGACTGGTTGATTTTTCAATATGTTGAACATCTAGCTGCTCCTGTACCAGCTGTTCTAGTGCCTATAATTTTTTATTTTAATTTCAAAGGACATTATTCTACCCATGCAGGTTAGTCAGTTAACCATTTTAAAGGTAGGGCTGTTGATACCCTTGAAAGACCACTAGCTGTTGTGCTCTGTTTATGTACAACCTGAATGGTCTGTGACTATTCTTGATAATACTTTTTAATATTTTTATCAGAAGCATTCTTTATTTTATGGTTTGTATCTAAGATTGGAGAAGTGAAAGTCTGTGTTTTCTATTGCTACAACAAATCCCCATAAATTCATTGCTATGTTAGCCACATTTGGTTTTAATATTTCTTTTTTGTCCTTCTGGCCCTCTATATACTCAACCCATCTTGCACTTTGTTCTACCTGAGCTAAAGTTACAATCACAAGAATCTGAACATTTACCTTCTAAATAGACTAATCTGGAAGTCATGATTTTTTGTGAAATTATTGTTACAGTATGCCTATGTCTACTAAACCTTCAATTACAATGCCATTTATTCATACTTTTAGCTTAGGTCTATGATCATTTACAGAAGTTTGCCAAAATAATGTCTTATGGTCTCTTCTGATACTTTTTTTAATCTACTGAGGCTGTTCTGTCATCTAGAACATTATGGCTTTCAACAACAGGCATTAAGTCTTTTAATTGCTTTGTGCATGAGTGTCTCAATACTGGAATGAATTAGACGTATTTGATATTTGGGCCTGCAGGAGGGCACTTTCCAAAGGTAAGGATTACCTTGCCTGCCACTTGTTGATCTGCATTCATTAGTCTAATTCTTGCCTTTACCATACCTTCTGCATCCCTCCTTTTTGGAATATCTCTAGAAAAAGAAAAAAAATGCTTCTAAGAACATCTTGTCTACAATCCCTTTTGAAATGGCTTTGTTTACTACAATTAAAACATCTGACATTTTGATTTTTCTGAAATTTTCCAGAAATTATTTCTCCTATCAAAGCAGCATCATAAGCATGAGAGCCAATATCAGCCACATTTCTAATCCATTCATCTATTAGTGCTGATCTTATTTTTAAGAGCCTAATAATTCTTTTATATTCTTATTTACAATGGTCAAAATTTTCAACTAATATTTGTCTAACTTCTGGATCTGATATTAGTCTATTTACAGCTGAAGCCAATATTTGTTTTTTTAATGTATTTTTAATTTAAATTAGAAACAAGCTTGTTTTACATGACAATCCCAGTTCCCTCTCCCTCCCCTCCTCCCCTCCCCTCCCACTGACCCCCCATCCCAACACTTTTCTGCTCCCCAGGGAGGGTGAGGCCTTCCATAAGGAATCTCAAACTCTGTTATATCATTTGGAACAGGGACTAGACCCACCCCAGGGTGTCTAGGCTGAGAGGATATCCCTCTATGTTGAAAGGGCTCCCAAAGTCCATTTGTGTACTAGGGGTAAATACCGATCCAGTACCAATGGCCCCATAGATTGTCCACACCTCCAAACTGACCTCCTCATTCAAGGGTGCTTAGAACAATGCTATGCTTGTTTCTCAGCTATCAGTCTGGGGTCCATGAGCAACCCCTTGTTCAGGTCAGCTGTTTCTGTGGGTTTCTCCAGCATGGTCTTAACCCCTTTGCTCATTACTCCTCCCTCTCTGCAACTGGATTCCAGAGTTCATCTAAGTGTTTAGCTGTGGGTGTCTGCCTCTGCTTTCATCAGCTACTGAATGAAGTCTCTAGGATGGCATATAAGGTAGTCATCAATCTCATTATCGGGGAAGGGTATTTAAGGCAGCCTCCCCACTATTGCTCCCCACAGATTGTTTGTTGGGGTCAACC